CACCATCTATTCTTTAGTTATCATTTGTCAGTTACATTTATATCCCGCCTTTTCCTTCAGTGAGCTCAAAGCAGCGTATAGGACTTTCCACCTCTGCACTTTAGCACAACTAGCTTGTGAGGTACTGTAGGTCAGTGAGTTTTCTGCCTCAATTTGAACAAGAATCCTATTTTATTTAAATACTTCCTTTCTCCCCAAAGAGGACCCAACTTACAATGAATAACAACAACCTACAGCATTTATTCTCAAACTCTGAAGCAGATAGCACTGATGGTGAATCTCTTGTTCTGCGCAAATTAAAGCCAGAATGTCATGTATTTTTTGATACACCATCTATTATATATGTATCATTTGTCAGTTATATCCAGCCTTTTCCTTCAGTGAGCTCAAAGCAGCGTACAGTATAGGACTTTCCACCTCTGCACTTTAGCCTCACAACTAGCTTGTGAGGCACTGTAGGTCAGTGAGTTTTATGCCCTAGTTTGAACAAGAATCCTATTTTATTTACAGTAAATACTTCCTTTCTCCCCAAAGAGGACCCAACTTACAATGAATTAAAACAACAACATCATCATCATCATCATCATCATCATCATCATCATCATCATAAAAGACTGAATCCACGCGACGGAGGGAGCTCCCGTCACTTTGTCCAGCTCCTCACCAACCTAACAGTTCGAAAGCATGTAAATGCGAGTAGATAAATAGGTACCATCTCAGTGGGAAGGTAAACAGCGTTCCAAATGTAAGTCGCACTGGCCACGTTACAACAGAAACTGTCTTCGGACAAACGCTGGCTCCATGGCTTGGAAACGAGGATGAGCACCGCCCCCTAGAGTCGAAAACGACTGACTAAAACAGGGATCAGGGAACCTTTTTACCTTTTACCCCCCCCCCCAAAATTATATATGCTGAAATTACCCCCTTGATTTGAAAGGAATGAAATCATACATTATTTGAATTCAAAATCTTATTGAATTATACAAAATTACTTTGAAAGCTTCAACTTACTTGAAAACTTCAGAATTTGGAGAAATGATGTTGCTTCATCTTGGATATGAGAGCATCAATATTGGGGCTTTGCTCATCCTCATTACCCCCAGGATTTTCATTTTTACCCCATTTGGGGTAATTTACCCCTGTTCCCTGACCACTGGACTAAAATGTCAAGGGGAACCTTTACTTTTACCTTACTTTAATAATAATTTAGAATCACAGTAAAATGTAATATTAAAAATAGCTCAACAAACAATAGTATTAAAAATCTCAACTTACAAATACTTTAAAATATATCCACCTCTCTTCAATGACTGAAATCCAGTAGTAAGTCACAACTAGAGTAGGCCATTGAATCAGTGGGGATTTGGTAAGTCAACTCCTCCAGAAGTGATTCAATGGGCCTATTCTAGTTGTGACTTACTACTGGATTTCATCCAATATATACAGTACAGTATGTCCAAGTCAATTAAAGTTTTGCCTGAAAAGAAAGATCAAGTCAATTAAAGCCTGCCTAAAAAGAAAGATAATTGTCTCTTGGCAAAAGGATAACATCTTAAAGAAGAATATAGATCAACTTCAGTATGTTTCAGACATTAGAATGGTCTACCATCTCCCTACTTCATTCAGCAGATCAAGTTCAAAATAACTTAAATTGGGTTAAAGTAATACATGCCCCGTATTACAGATTATCTAGTGGAGTGGACATAACTGTTGCCGTGGTTCATAAAATCATAGAGTACTAGGTAAGAAAGGGACCACAGGAGTTATACAAGAGTCCAGGCCATAGAGTACTAGGTAAGAAAGGGACCACATACAAGAGTCCAGGTCCTTGACATAGCAGGATGTCCCTAGATAAAGCATACCTAAAAAATGCCCCACCCAATCCACCTTGACATAGCAGGATGTCCCTAGATAAAACATATCTGAAAAATGGCCCCCCAATCCCTGCTTAAACATCTTCAGTACTGGAGAATCCACCACCCTCCAAGACAATCAATTCCATTCTCAAACAGTGTTTAGTGTTAGGAAATTCTTCCTAATGCTGAATCAAAACTCCCTTCCCTGTAATTTTAATCCACTACTTTGGGTCCTGCCCTCTGGAGTTGCAGAAAACAAGTTCACTCCATCTTCTACATAAGAGCCTTTAAGTACTGTATTTGGAAAATGGGTATCATATTGCCTCTTGGTCTTCTCATCTCCAGGCTAAACATACCCAGTTCCCTCAACTCTTCCTCAGAGGGCTTGTCTTCCAGACTTTTTACCATCCTAGACACCCTCCTCTGGACATGTTCCAATCTCTTGATATCCCTCTTACACTGTGGTGGTGCCCAGAACTAGACACAATATTCCAGGTGAGGTAATACTATTACCTGTTTTGATGTGGACATTGTATTTCTGTTGATGCAGACTAGTACCACATTACATTATTTTGTTGCCACATCACACTATTGACTCATGTTTAGCTTGTGGTGTGCTAAGGCCCTTAGATCCTTCTTGGATGTATCTGAGCATCTGATTTTTCATGCTTAAATGCAGAACTTTAAATTTCATTCCCTCTTTAACTCATTTTGTTTCTTTAGGCCCAGTTCCTTCAGTCTATTAAATACCTTTCTGAAACTTTATTCTGTTTTCTCAAGTATTAGCCACTCCTCCTAATTTAATGAGCATCCCTTCCAATCCTCCTTCAAGTCATCTATGAAAATACTTAACAACACCACACTAGGGCAGATCCTTGTGGCACCTCACTAAGTACTTGTTTCCAGGATGATGTTGAACCACTAGTAAGCACTCTTTAGATATAGCCCATCAACCAGCCACAAGTCCATTTAACAGAACCACCAGCTAGCTCATATATCACCCACCAGTTTGGCCACAAGAATATAATAAGGGACCTTGTAAAAAAACCTTGCTGAAATCAAGATATACTACCTCTACACCATTCCGTTTATCAACTAAGCTTGTTATTCTATCAAAAGAGGAGATAAACTTTGACTTGGGTTTGCTGAGTTTTAGAAGTCATAGTGTTCTTTTCTAAGTGCCCACAAGCTGGCTAATGATATGTTCGAGGACCCTTCCTGGTCTTGGTGTTAAGTTGATTGGTAGGTAATTGCCCGGATCCACTTCCTTACCCTTTTTGAATGAGGATGAACTCACCTGCACTCCAAAAGTTCTTAGAGATGGTAGACAGAAGCTATGTATCACATCCACAAGTTCCTTTAGTACCCTTATCTGCAGCTCATCTCATCCTGGAGACTTGAACCTATTTAAAGTAGATAGGTGTAGCGTTCACCCTTATTATGTTAAGTAGTTATGAATTTTCATGTTGTAGGCTAATATTGCTGAGAGGCGGAGCCGAGAGATATGTAATAAAGAAGCGGAGTCAGAGAGTGAGTCAGCCAGTAAGAGTCAGAGTGAGAGAGTGGAGGAGAGAGTGTAGTATTTGGGAGATCTGAGGTGTGATTAGAGTGAAAAGTAAGAACTGTAATAACATATAGAAGGTTGAGAGTGATGATAATAGAAGTTCCCTATGATTAATAATAACAATTGTAATCAAAAAAATGTTTTATTTAAAAGTCAGTGAAGTTTGGACCTGCATCTTCATCCTTCCATAATTAAAGTTGAATTAGTGATCAACTGGTGGCAGCGGGGTAAAAAAGGAGTAGTAGTTTGCCTTCGTGTGCTCTGTGTCTGGACGGTCAGGCAAGGGGCATGAGGGGCAAACACTACAGATGCTATGTACGGTATTACATACACAAGTTCCTTTAGTACCCTTATCTGCAGCTCATCTGGTCCTGGAGACTTGTACTTATTTAAAGTAGGTAGGTATTCCTGCACCATCTCTATTTGTATTATGGACAGGTGCCTCCTCCTTTATTCAACTTGCCCAGTTTGGGCACAATCTTCCACAGATAATTATTTTCTGGACAGGATTCCTAATCAAGAACTTGAGGTCAAGGCTTGTCTTCTCTTTGAGATTTAAGCAGCAAATGGGTTAACAAAGGTTACTGGGAAACAATTCCACTGTGACAGCTATTCTTTCCATATCCTTGTGGATAGGCATTCATCTTTGAAAGTAAAGGACAAACTATTAGCGTGTAGAAATATTATTCTATTTTGAAACAGCATGCAATTTGAATCTTATGCAGTTTTGAAACTGCATCCAGTTAGGCCCAGGCTCACTGGATGCGGTTTCAAAATTGCAGTGCTGGAAATATTAATACTATTGAAGTATCACAGGGACTTGGGAAATTATTCTGCGCCAACCAACCTAAGGCTTTACAAAGGAGGTCTATATTAGTCAATAGATTTAGGAAGTTAAAATACCCAGTACTGCATGTTCCTTTTAAAGTTCTGGCTACCTTAAGACCAGCATGTGCACAGCGGCAAAGGTTGTTCTCCCCCTCCACCACGCCACCCCTTTTCACCGCGGCAGTGGCCCTGTAAGACATAACGTCACCAGGCGCTTTCCATCTCTCCGGAGCATCATTTCCTAAGGGAATTCAAGGTGCCCCAAGGACTCCTGGTGGTTCCTGTCCCCTGACCCGGGGTTGCCACCCCTCTTGTCCTGCCCTTCGCGTCATTCCCTCCCGGGCACGTGTCTAGGACACCCTGCTGGGACTCTGCCTGCCTGCCTGCCTGCCAGCCGGGCCCTGCCTTGCCTTGTCTTGCCTTGCGTGGACGCGGACGCGGCTTGCCTTGCCTTGCCTTGCCTTGCCCTGCGTGGACGCGGACGCGAGCCCACCGAGACCGTGACACACGTGCACATGCCCCTCGGTCTTTCTGCCTCTGCCCCAGCCTGCATTGCTCGTGCAGACGCTCTCGGCTAAGGAAGGGGAGGGCGAGGCGCGCGCCGGTGGCGCGCCGGCCTGGGAAGCAAGCAGGTCGCTTCCTCCTCCGCCGCCGCCGGCAACCGGGCTGTGCGCTGGCGCCTCCGGCACACCTCCTGGCCGTACTTTCTCTTCTACTTTGCCACAGGCTGAAGCTCATGCTGCGGGGTGGGGGGCAGGCCCCGCCTGGCCATGGGCTGCCTGCAGAGCGTGGCGTGCAAGGCGCGGGTGCGCAGGGAGAACATCGTGGTCTACGACGTGTCGGCCTCCATCGAGCCGAGCGCCACCGCCATCGAGGAGACCTCGCCCATCGTGCTCCGCTACCGGACGCCCTACTTCCGCGCCGCCGCCCGCGTCCTCATGCCGCCCATCCCGCGCCGCCACACCTGGGTGGTGGGCTGGATCCAGGCCTGCAACCACATGGAGTTCTACAACNGTCACTTGGCCTCCGCGAGGAGGGCACCGCCCGGTCTCCATAGCAACCGATTCGCCGCCGAAGAGCCCAGCCTCTCCCTCCATGCGCTCCCGTGACCGGGTCCGGTCTTTGTGGGGCACCAACCCTGCCCGCCAGCCGGGCGCCTCTGCTGGGAGCAATGGCTGGCGAGGGGCCTGGGAGGCTAGCTGACTGTCCGCCGGAACACTTGGCCTCCGCGAGGAGGGCACCGCCCGGTCTCCATAGCAACCGATTCGCCGCCGAAGAGCCCAGCCTCTCCCTCCATGCGCTCCCGTGACCGGGTCCGGTCTTTGTGGGGCACCAACCCTGCCCGCCAGCCGGGCGCCTCTGCTGGGAGCAATGGCTGGCGAGGGGCCTGGGAGGCTAGCTGACTGTCCGCCGGAACCAGAGGAGCGTTTGTCCAGTGGCAGCCAAGAGGAGATGCGAATTAAGGTCTCCCTGATACCCACGCCTGTGTGCATTCAAGTCAGGGAGAGTAAGAGCATCATTACATTGGTCTTTTCCATAGCAAATAAAATGTGCAGGTCTTGAAACACCCCATACATCTATATGGGTCTTGCAATCTAGGCCCCAACAAAGGCAAGTCCACACATTTATCTGGAAATCCTTTTATTGTGTGCAAAGGACTTACATTAATATTTCCAGCACCAGTCTATCAAAATATGTGCAACATACACTTGAAACAAATGTCCAAAAACTCTGAGTCACATGTACGTGAACATATTTCCATAGTTTCTGTGTTTCCATGGTGTACTTTCAGTGCAGTGCTTCACATATAGCACAGCTATTTGTGTTGAAAATGCAAAACTGACCTTACTGAATGTACAATACTTGCAATGTTTTCTTATAGAGCCTATCAGAAACAACATGTAATCAAGAACGCAAGTTAGCTGCGGGAGAAGCTGTTTTAAAAGTTGTACAACCATTTTCAGAAACAAGACACATATTAGGATTTTATTAAGTCTCACCAAGTAGAAGTAGCATTGAAACAAATATCTGAGTTTTCTAACATCAAAAACTGAGCTAGCTTGTGAAATATCTCTGGGGAGGTCTCCACTCTGGGGCTTCCGCAATGGTAACTACAGAAGAGACTAGCTCTTTATAATTGTTTATGGGGAATCATAGTCTCTGTGAAGAAGGAGCAGCTGATCCATAAATTGGATGACGACTGTTTATGGCATTTAAGGTTAAGACTTTACCTGTAGTCTGAAACAGATTATCAAATAAGCTCCCAGTTTTTCACTTCTACTAATAAATTGCCTGCCTGTCTCATTTTGAGCTAATTGATCAGTCTTCAAAAGCAGATCCATTATAAAAAGTTACATTAATCCAGAGTGGAGTTATAAGGATTGTATCACAGCACCCAAGTTAATTCTATAACTCCGGAAGCACCACCCAAGTTTTCTTTAATTCTTTGAGAGAGGGCAGCCCTAGAGAGTTGTACTTGAGAGAAGATGGAGGCCCAACAGTGTAGGTTGATCAGGCTCTCCTTCCCATTGCTACTCCCATCAGTGTCTTTCTCTTGTCTGAGCTGAGTTTCTGTTGATGCACTTTGAATCAGTCTGCCAGTGATCACAAGCTCATATTTGGACTCCAGTGTCTTTGCTGGTTCTCTTGAAAAAAATACCTTCAGCATATTTGATGAAGGAGGGATGCGGCAGACAAAGGAATGGGTCTCATAAAATAATGCAGGACTAGGTTTGCCCCCCCCCCCCCAGTTATGGCATGTGTAGAATACCTGTGTTGGAGTAAAGAGTCTCTGTGAAGGTCTGCAGGTTTGCTGAAACAAGTCCCAAGTACAATGGGTTTTGGACTGCAGGGCAGTAGGTTTTTCTATCCATTTCTGTTTTATTGCTACATCAATTTACTTCTATGTCAGTTCAAAACTTATAAAAATATTAAATATTTAAAAATGTGAAGAGACAAGGGAAAGGCGGCAGCTGCTGTTGTTGCTGTCACACCTAACTGTTTCTGGAAAACTCCCCCTTGCTGGACTGTGAACTGTGCCCTCCTTCTCAGCTCCTTGGTGGTTGGAAAAAGCAGACTGGCTGGCCTTCAGAGCAAGGAGGAGCCTCCCCCACCTACCTACCCATCCTCCTTGTGACTTGAGAGGAGCCTTCACTGAATGGAAGGCTGGGAATTACTTCCGCCTCCATATCTGCTTACAACATAGAGGCAAGACATGGGGGAGTGCAGTTTCCATGAGGACACACACACTGACATGAAAACCATGTGATGTTATATCAATTCGAAAAAATGCAAAACAGCTCCCAATTTAATTCCATCATTTTGGTTGTACCCTATGTCTCTCACAACAAACTGAAAACTATTTCTGCCCACTTGGAACACTTCGGCTTCTTGAGTGGTAAAAAAACAGAGTTGCCAGGCAATCTCTATGTTGTCTATAATGGAATTACAGTAATTTTAAGTGATGGATTAGGTAAAGAAAGTCAATGTTATTAAATTTTCTAGCTTTATGATTTTGCTTAGTGATGTCCAGTCTCTGGTGGTATAAATTCCTCCTTATAGGACCTTTTCCTTTGTCTGCATCCCTCATACCTTGGAACAGCATGCAGACCAGAAGGATTTAAGATCAGTCTCCTCCACCCCTTACAGTGTCCTTCCCTTTGCCCCCATTCAGCTTGCTTTTAACATTTTAACTAATGAAAGAAAATTATTCCTGAAAGCTTGTATATTTTTGTGTGCATCTGTGCACTTTTGGAACACTTTTTGGTTTATCTGTATAGGCTATCATTTCAGTATAAAATTTGGCCCTCTTCTTGTATTCACAACTCAGTGGGGTGAAGAGGTTCAAGTGTGCCAGTGAAGCTGAGAGCAATGCCATTAGGAAGCCAATTTTAAACCTGGACTCCTAGCAGGCTTGTCCAAGGGGTAATGGTCACACCAGACTAAGATGCATCCACCATCTTTAAGGGTAATGGCCATATGAACAGAATAGAATGGTTCATTCCAATGGTGATGAGGGTGGCAGCTGCTGGGCTACCATAGTAAGGTAACTATGGTAGTACAATTCAAACTAACTTTTCTTAGTACTGTGCAGAAGAAAGCAGTGGTAAAACCATTGCTGAATATTTCTTACCTTGAAAAACTTATGATGAGATAGCCAAAAATGAAACAAGAGATAGTGCTGGAAGATATTACCCCATGGGAAAGCACTCAGTCAGCCATTGGGGAAGAGTAAAGGACAAATATGAATAGTGCTGTTGCTAATGATGCAACAAGATTAAAGCTGAAAGGACATCTAGTGGCTGATATGCACAGAAGTGAAGTGAAAGTTTGATGATGCATAACATGCAATTGGAACATAGAACTTTAAATGGGGAAATGGGGAAGAGTGGAGAAAGACAATTCCTGTAGTAAAAAGAAACAAACCAAGATGGATGACAGAAGAAAAACTTAAAATTGCAAAGGGCAGATTAGAAGCAAAAGTAAAATGTGACAGATGTAGGCCCAGAACTGTGAATGCAGTTTTTCAGTGACTGTCACATAGAGACAAAGAGAACTATTACAACAACCAGTGCAAAGAAATAGAGGAGAACAACAAAAGGGGAAAAACAAGATACCTCTTCCAGAAGATCCAAGAAAATCAAAGGGAATTTAAACCTAGATTAAGAATTTAAACCTAGATTAAGACCAATAGGAAAGCACACTATCTGACCAGTAGAAGATAAAGAAAAGGTGGAAACAGTATACAGTATTGAAGACCTGTATGGAAGAGATAAAAGGATGACAGACTCCTTTGAAGAGGAATCCTATGATGAAGAACCTGCAGTTGTAGGAATTGAAATGAAAGTTGCTCTGAAAGCTTTCAGAATAAATAAATCACCAGGGGAAGGCAGTATACTGATACAACTATTTCAAGCAACAGAGACTAAATCTGTCAAAATATGTCAGCAAATATGGAAAACAAAACAATGGTCAACAGACAGGCAACAGTCAATATATATTCCAATCCCCAAGAAATGAGTTGCCAAGGAGTGCAGGACTATACGATCGTTGCTGTATTTTCCCATGCAAGCAAACTGCGCTTGAGGTGTTGCAAGAATTACCTTACATGGGGCAGGAAATGCCTGATGTTCTGAAAAAGAAGAGGCACTCAAGATCATATTGCAAATATCCACTGGCTACTGGAGAGCACCAAAGAATTTTAGAAACTCTGTGTTTCATAGACTACAGCAAAGCCTTTGACTGTGTGGATCATCCTTAAAGGATTAGTCAAATGAGTAAATTTTACTCATCACATGTACATCACTTAGAATTATCTTACAACCAATAACTTTATATTCATAGACTGAAGCACATAAGCCCCACAGCCTCCATCGTTGCTTTCAAGAAGTGAAAGCAACTGTCTGGAGAGGGAGAGGCTGTCTGCTCATCACTGAAGGCACTCCATGTGAGTCAGAGCCTTGCTCACACACTGAGGTAAGGACTGGACAGAGCTCCTATCTTTTAAAATCACTGTTTCATTATGATCCTTAAAAATACTTGTTTTTTCCCTCTACCCCATGCTTTTCCATTGCTTTGCTTCAGCTTCCCCTGCCATGCTCATGTGATGTAAATGTAATGTTATTCTTTTCAAAGGCTGACCCTTGTGTTCGTTCGTTCGTTTAGTCATTTAGTCATGTCCGACTCTTCGTGACCCCATGGACCAGAGCACGCCAGGCCCTCCTGTCTTCTACTGCCTCCCGGAGTTGGGTCAGATTCATGTTGGTTGCTTCGGTGACACTGTCCAGCCATCTCATCCTCTGTCGTCCCCTTCTCCTCTTGCCCTCCTGTAGCTCACCCAACTCAAAGGGCAGAAAGGTCCACACCAGTCATTTTTAACTGACTGTTTTAACATGAAATAGTGAGCTTGGTGTGGCCAAGACGGGTTGGTCTTAATATTTTGCAATTCTCTTTGAAACTGAGAAATGTACATGCAAACATGTGTCAGAATGAACAAGGATCAAATGCACATATGGTCTTGCATG